CTAATAATTAAAACATTCAAGAATGATCAGTCCGAATCTTTAAATTGTAACGAATACTCGGGTAGAGGACTCATGACTAGATACGTTCTACAAGTTCTTTCTTTTTCCTCAGTCAACTTGTGAAATCAATACCTCACAGCTAGAGGAGCCTTCGTACAAACCTAAGTTAATCACATTAGTACAATTTGTAAGTCTAGTACAAAAAACAGTTGCCAGCGTCAAGTAATTGGTTGTGCTAAGTCTGAAATACTGTTGGGCTGTGGAAGGCTTTCGCCTTCAAGTTATATGGAAATTTACAGTAAAGTTCATGTATTTTTTAAAATTATTTTTGGTGAACTAAGTATCAGGTTTTTGAATGGCAATTAATAAAGCATAAATTACAATCCATAACTAACAACAAATAGGCGATGGGCTTTGCGATACTTGTAAACATTACCGTTATTTTTCTTGAATATATATGTATTTCCTTATTTATTTATTTGCATAAAGACTTATTTCTTTTCCAAATTGCTGTCTATATTTATATATTTATTTATTGTCAGTCTGATTATCATATGATTCAAATCGATGCCCATACATTAAGTCGCGAAGGCTTCTACAACCTGGTGCAGTTGTGCCAGCTCTTGAGTAATCTTCGTACCATCATCCAAGCCTACTTGGATGATAATCCGCTGCCCGAGAGTGTAATTCGCTCGTTCCCAAAAGGTCGACCAACTTCTCGTTTGTCCGGCCAGCAACAATGTCGCTCACGTAAGTCTGTCCGTAGAGCATCACCCCAGTCCTCACTGGCTGTCAACAGGCAGCTGCTTAAAGGAATAGATCCTGATTCTATAAAAGAGGTAGACGTAGTGGAGCAAGTCATAGAGGATCTGCTATGGAATTCGACTTCGACTAGCAAGACCTCTTTCGAGTCTGACGGACTTCTTGGGGAAGAGGCCAAAAGCGAGAATGACAATGCCAGGCTGGCTGCAGGCAGTGAAGGCCAGGTCGTCTCAATATTGTCTCAGAAGCCCAAGCCTCTCTCGTTGAAGCATTCCACCTCCTCTGATGGCCCAACATCGCATCGGTTTCCTTCTAAACCTAAGGACTCAAATGACTTGCATAAAGGTCGGCTCAAGCGTAGGCCTGGCACTTCAGGCCATTTACGTACCGGTGAGAGGGTGTCGAACATTTCAGCCCGACGACAGCCATTGCGTAAGGCCACTCTAACCTCTAGAAGACTTGCAAAAACAGCGCAGAAAAGGGAAGCAAAGGCACGGTCATTTCATGGTAAATCGCACAGACAGACTCCTGTGATCTACCCGGGAGACAAGCATTTGTCATGTGAGTCAGCTTTGCCGACGGACTTCTTTATCGGTTTCACAAAGGCACTTACTGACCTCTCCAACACTTCAGATACTTCATCCTCTTCTTCCGAACGGTCTCGACAGGATTTCTAGCAATAGGTCACCTACAACATTCCAATTATGAGCTCAACCTTTCTCAGCATTTTTCCAAAGTCTGCCGCACTGAACAGAACTGGTTGCTGCTTTGTTATCCACCATTTGTTAATTCTAGCCATTAACGCATCTTTTTTGCTACACTTTTTGTGGTTTTGTTAAATTTGACTTTGTTATATCTCTTATAGCTCAAATGCTGTGAGGCCCTTAGTAAACATATATATCAGATGATTTTTTTAGTTAGCTCGTTCCGAGTTGAAGGTATCTGAGATTATACATCCAGACGTAGGGACCTATAAGCCTATGAATCAGGCCATATATATCAGATTAGATGGCTCGTGAGGTAGCTTAAGGGGCACGGCAAGTCCCTTTTCCTGTCTACGTCCTTGTCTCAGGAAGCTCAATTATTTCAGCCATATAAGGTGACTCGCGTTCTCCTCTAAACCTACTACTAACCATTTTACCTTGAAGAACTAACTTCAGAAAGATCACGGAGTCTTTACATCAAATGCTAAAAGGTGGTCTTCTCTGCATGTAATAGCAGCTTCATGACTTGGATGACAGGACATAAGTGTTTTAGCTTGGTAGCTATTTAGAAGGAACTAAAAGTCACTTTAAACCCGAGATTCAGTACTCACTAGAGTACGAAATTCATTGATTGCATCATATTTTGCCGCAATTTTTATCATATCCCGCTAGATATATACTTGTTCTATGAACGGTTTGCAGAGGTCTCATGAGAGGAACTTGATCCAATCAGTTTAATTAATTTGCTATCTAAGCACAGTTTCATTCACACAACTTCACAGTATGCTTCGAATTCTATGTCATCTAGCTGCGGAAAAAGTTGCTTTGGTGCTTGTCTCTACACACATATTATGTTGACCTGAACAAACGACGCAATCCAGGCTAGCCGAAGGCAACCATAAATCCGAGAATTGTTTATACCAACAACGTAAAGCTCGGATAAAAAATAAATGATCGTCTGATTTTTCACATTTCCCCAATTGAAGAGGCAAACACCTGCCATTGATACAAAAGTTCCCACATTCATTCATTATCAGTTGAAGCAAGAAATTCATTAATCTAACTTTGTAATTAAAGGTAGCGTATAACTGGAAAGAGATACGTCATAATATAAATTAGGACATCGGATCGTTTTTCATATAAGTAGAGCTTCGAGACTACCAGTAAGGCAGTTATATGAAATGTGTTCATCCTACTTCATTTAAGATGATGAAGAACACTAGTAGTAGAATTTTCTCATTATTATATGAGTAGAGTTGACGTTTTTATTGAACTTCACAGAGCTTTGGTTTCCCAAAAGTTGTTCTCAACCAGAATGGACTGGAGTTTCTACCTCACATTGGTCTTATCAACACCCCTAGCAGGAGTCGAATTGTGACAGTGTAGAATGCGAGCTTGGCACGTTAACCGCTCGGTCACAATGCCATGAGTGCCCTTGGGTCACATGGCAGATTTGAATTACTATGGAGACCAGCCCTTTTGCTATCTCACATTCTTTTGTGGGATTGTCAATGAAGCAAACGTATTATTGCTATAACAATCGACTACATTACTTATTTTACGTATAAGTAGAGTTTCAAAAGTACTATTAGATAAGTTATATCAAACTGCAGTCCACTTTGGATGAGAACATCTTTTGAGAAAGCAAGCTTATGTGAAATTCACAGGAAAAGGGCAGCTCTACTCGTATTATTGTAGAAAAATTGTACTACCAGACCTTCATCACCTTAAATAAAATAGGGTTAATACATCTCATATAGAGAATCGTCTTTACTTTATAGAATCTCCCATAATAATATCTCCCTCCTGAAAATGCGATGACTGAACATGAAACCTAGTTTTATGGCAATGGAACTTCCATTTAATAAGTTGGTCTAATCACAAACTGAATAAAGAATTACATTAGTTATTATTGCTGGCTTGAGTGCGGATACCTTTGTCTTAAACTCAAAACAGCAAGATCAGCAAAAAGAATACGGCTGGATCAAGGTAATATACTTAATGTTAGGGAAAGAGATCGCAGTGTGATGAGAAATGAAGAATCAGAAGCAAAGAGTAGACGTCTTCACTGAGCCTAATCAAAACAAGTAGAACCACGATATTTGGGGGTTAGCACACACAAGACTAGGACGTAGGAAGCGATGGACATGGTATTGTGGATAGAAATAGGAAGGACGCAGTGGAGATAAAAGCTATTTGGCTAACAATATACGTGTTTGATCATAGAAGTGATCCTTGAATCACGACTATTATTAGCCAACGAGCTCTAGTTTCCACTGCTTATATCCTCTTTTTATCCATAATATCAAGTCTATGACTTCCTATTCCCTAGTCTCTTATGTGCTAAACCTACAAGCGTTGTGGTTCAACATTGAACATAATCAAAGCAAGCAGTACCACAAAATTTGTGGGTTAGCAAACAAGAGACTAGGGCATGGCAAGTCATAGAAATTGTATTAGGGATAGAGACAGGATAGATGTGGTGATGATCGGAGCTTGTTGGCTGACAGTAGGTTTTACAAGAGACGTGTTCCATCTAGCAAAAGTATGACCATGAGGCTTTAGCCTCGAATTAGTCACACAGACGCAAGAGAGAACGAATAACGCCTCGATAGCACAGATAGGGGGACAGTGGTCAAGTGAAATACATGTACCAGGGGGATAGCAGACGGATTCTACGGGCAAGAGGGACACTCTGATAGGACCCAGAGAAGGACTACGTAACAATATGACAGACTCTGGTCAACATTCCTAGCACAAGGGTGAAGGGGGTGAGAACTACAGCGTGGAGTGTGAAGGGTTTTCATAAATGCCGCTAGAATGAGCACTGCACACTAAATATAAATAAGCACAGTTAAAAGTGTAAGAGTGAAGGCGTGATAGGTGGATATAGGAAATGTAAATAGCCAAGTGCAGAAGAGAAGATACCACAACTGTTTAGCACACGTTTAGTCAAAGGATAGGCTTCACTTGTCTCTTTGACGAGCTGTACTATGGTGCTAAGAATTGCGAGACTCACTGACGATGCCGACTACAATGCCAGCAAAACGGTGGGAAAGTACCACGTCTATGGTTCGACTTTGGAAATGATCGTGCATAAAATGGACTCCGGACCAGGTGCGTTCCTCTAAGTCTTCCTACCAATATGACCAAGTTATGAAAACAAGTTCACACAATCTTTATGCTAAGCTTTTGTCTGCTATTTTACAGTAATTAGGATATTCCTTTTACGCTCAATCAAATGAGAGGGTCAAGAAAATTTGCCTTCATATCCCTACATGCGGTATAAATATCACGAACTAATGCGTGCTTATAGCCTATAGAGTGATTCGCTTATATCCAGTCAAGCCCACCTAGAAGCATGTGGGAATGTTTCTTTGTGTACGATTTTGTGCG